ACACACACACACACACACACACACACACACACATATCTGTGAGAGAGTTGAATGGATCCACCAGTTACAGACAGTTGTGAGCTGCCATGCGGCTGCTGGGAATTGAACCTGGGTCTTCAGGAAGGGCAGCCAGTGCTCTTAACCACTGAGCTGTCTCTCCAGCCCCTGAACATGGCATTTTAACATTTGTAAGCTTATTATGACAGAGTCCCCAAATCTTGGCAGTAGCTGCCCAAGGTCTACGAGAAACTTTGAACCAACAACAGATGACGGCAACTCTGTATTGTGGTGTGCTAACCACTGGGCAAGACTGACCCAACTGGCCCACTGCTAGGGCCCAGCCTACACTGGACAAAACTGTGGACACCTGGAGAGTCATTGTTTCACATTGTCTGAGGTGAGGTGAGGTCAGTCTCTCATGTTCCTCTTTCCACAGAAGCAGTCTCTCGTCTTCTGTGCCTGACAGCTGGACCACCTCTGCTCAGGATGCCATGAGACACAGGAGCCAGGGACACTGCCTAGGTGATGGACTAACTAGTCATCTCTGACATTTTGATTGGTACATGGATTTAGTTTATATTTCATCCTTCTCAGGTCTCTGATCACTTTGACATCTAGGCTAAGCTTAAGGTAACTTTGCCGTTAGGGAGCAGACAGTTAGATCCACTGTTAGCTCATTGGTCAGTTCATTAGCTAGTTAGAACTACTAGGTAATGAGATTTTTTATTTAGAAAGGCAAACAGGTTTGCCTTACTCATAGGCTTCATGTTAGTTGCCTGTGTCTTATGGTAAATAGCTGGATAAAAAAATATAAAATTTATATAAGATCTGATAATATAAAAATTTAAGTTAAAAGGATCTAGAACATGTTATTTGAAGATCTTGAAAAATGTTTCAGAATTATAAATGCTAGAAAGATTGGAGGATTTAAATTGATTTTTTTAGATATAAGAATACAAGTTATAATCATATAAAAATAATTTAAGACATAATAAAAGTAAAAGATATTTCAGATTTCTCCCCTCTCTCTACTATTGTTATGTTTATGTGGTTATAAGATTTCAGAAGTTCAGGATTTTGACATCAATCTAGTTCTGATACATGGATGAAATACTGACTATTTATTATCCAGTCACATGCTTGAGATTTTTATTGCCCTTTTGGTTGTCTTTTGAAAATAGACTTAAAGGAACTTCCTATCATGGTAAAAACATCTGTTTAATATATATGTCTGACCCAAAAGCCATAGCCTTCACTGTGGTTTTCTTAATATCTGCCATTTCTGAGATAGACTTTGACACAGGAATATCTTGAACCTATTCCTCCTAGTTGCTTTGTTAAGGAAAGTCTAAGCATCCAGGGTTTAGCAATAAAGCCATTAATATATTTCTGTCTAACTTTCCAATATGACATGGAGGCTAAAATTAGATGCTGAATGTGCAAATAAAAATGGCTGAGCTCCTTTGATGGCTGATTACCAACAACAGGGCCCACAGTTAAAATGTTAAAGTTTCAAACCATGGACATACTTAAGTTGTTTATAAAGGTTACAAAACAAACAGCTAAGAAAAACTGATGCTCATTCCTTTGGGTATAGTTTTACCTGTTACTCATAGAATATTGTTTATATTAGATCTGCTCATATGTCACTTTTCTGAGTTTTTTAAAATACAAATTTCCTTTTATGAACTAAAAATTCATATTAGTTCCAAAAATCCAAAAAGTCATGAGACCTGGATCTGTCATAGTTCAAACGTATCCCAGATAAGTTTTTTTTTCCTTGGTCTTGGGATTCCTCACTTTCCCCAATTACCAGACAAATTTTAACTTCTGTCTCTAGTCTGAATTTGTCTCAGCAGATTTTCACCTAGTTAACTCTATTCTGGGATCAGCTATGGACTGCAAGCTGAAATCTGGACTTGCTGGAAGCTGACATGATTGCTCCCTGTATTTCAATCAGCTCAACTCACCAGATGCTTCTGAGGACTGCCCCTTTGCCCAGCCTTTGACTGGCATTTCAGCCTTCCTAACCCCCATGCCAACGGTCTTACTGTCAGGACTGAAGCAGTTTCAGAAAACGAGATCTGCAGCCCAAAATCCCACCTGACAGGCTGAAATGCTAAGCCAAAAGGGACTCCCTGACATTAGCTATTAACTTGGGGATTTGCTTAGCTGGAATAAAAACTAGTATTGCAGCAACTGGACTAAAAGCCTAAAGAGATCCTAGAGGAAGAATATTCCAGAGGATGAGTTAAATCCTGGTTTAACAGTTCTCCTTGGCTTACAATACAGTAATGGTACTCAGATCCCATTTGTGGAAAAGTAAATCTGTAGGACTCCAGGGGTCATATCTGTCAGACCCAAGATTGGGTCTTCAAATGATCATGGGAAGGGGGAAGGAAGGGATCTCACTCGAGAACAAGCAAGAAAAGTGGGAAAACTGGGAACTTTCCACTAACTGCCAAGTGCCAGTACACCCTCTTCTCTCTACTCCCCTCCCCTGGGACTCAAATCTCACAGACAGTTGCTGGAAAAGCCCCCAAGACACAGGTGGGGCCAGGCAGTCCTTGGAGAAACTGCAAAGCAGGCGGCTTGACCCTGAACACACTGGCCAAGGACATATCCACCAATGAAAAACTGCCCTGTTGCTACTTGCAAAGTTGCCTATAAAAACCCAAAGCTTTTGTTTCTCCGGGTCGCCTCTCCTCATGGTGCAGGAGACCCCAACATGTTGGTTTCAATAAACCTCTTCCGGTTTGCAGTGATCCCAGTCTCCGTGCCTCACTCAAGGGTCCTCTCCGGTAATGTACGACTCCCACGAGTCTTACAGTATAATGGGTGAATCTGAATGCCGTGAAACTCTGCGGGCTTGAAGGTTTAGGATGGAGGAACTATTGCCCAGCATTGTGTTCTAGGTTAACTAAATAAATCCTCGTCTCTGTGTTTTGGTTATACAGCTGTTTAGGATTAATGGCAGCTTTACTAAAAGATGTATCAATGGTAAATACTAACCACCAAATACAACATCCCAGCAATGTTCTTGTTGTTTGGTTGTTGTTGCTGTTCTGAGACAGGGTCTCACTGTGTAGTCCTGGCTGGCCTAGAACTCACTGTGTAGACCTGGCTGGCCTAGAACTCACTGTGTAGACCTGGCTGGCCTAGAACTCACTGTGTAGACCTGGCTGGCCTAGAACTCACTGAGTAGAGCAGACTGACCTTGGACTCACAGAGCTCCACCAGCCTCTGCCTCCTCACTGCTAGGACTAAAGCTGTGCCCCCATGCTCCAGCACAACCCCAGTGCTCAGGATTGCTCTACTGTCTAGGGCCTTTCTGCTGCATTTGGATTATAATTTTTCCCTTGCCTCTGTGAAAAACAGCACTGAAATTCTGATCAGTTGCTTTAGATCTGTTCGGTGGACCTGCCATTCCTAATGTTAATTCTCTCAGTCTGTGAGTGAGCATGGCAGGTCTTCCCATTCTCTAGTATCTTCCTCTGCTGCTTGCTTCAGTGTGTTAAAGTTTTCTTAGCAGAATTTCCACATTGTGCAGAAATAAATTTAAAGGGGATGGGGTGTTTCTGTCCTGTCTACCCTCTGTCTATAAAAGAGACAGAGACCTCTTAGATTTTATTTAACAAGCTCTAAAGCACCAGAGCTGGGCAGATATTAACTGTCTGTGTCACTTTGCCATTTCCAAGCCATGTGCCCAATGTGACTTGCCAATTAGTCCTGCCAGGGCTGTTTCTCCTGTGGCTCTCTGTCCTCAGGGGGAATTCTCTTGGTCATGGGCTCATGATCCATCCTGCTCCATGGAGACCCCTCTCCCGACTAACCTTCTCTCTCCTACCTAGGGTTGGGGGGTTGGTGGAAAGGAGGGAGAGGCTTAAATACCCCAAATACAGTAAGGTTTAAAATGAATGCTCCAGCACCTGGATTCCTAGAGCCAGGGAAGGAGAGGGAGCGTTGTTAGGAAACGTGCGAATGTGAAGGTTACATGCGGGTTCACAAATCACGCCACGAGATCGGTTCCACGTGGGAGGTTTATTAAGGGAAGGGGGGAGAGGGGTCGCAGAGAGAGAGAGAGAGAGAGAGAGAGGGGCTCCTGTTCTCTTTATAGGGTGATTTAGAGCATGCGCAGGTAGTTCCAGGTGGTCAGCAGGTGGTCTGGGTGTCTTCACAAATGCCTGATAACCGGTCTGTCAGGTTTCTTGGAGCTGGCTGTAGAAGTGCCTGCTTACTGATCCCAACAAGCCTCAGGCAGAACACAGATCCAACAGGACCAGAACTGAGCTGAGACCCTGTGGATCCCTCCTCTTTGTGGATCCTACAATCTGGGGTTAGATGCTGAGAGATGGGAAAGATGGAAACTCCAGGGAGGTGCCTTAAAGAAGGCAGGAACTCAGGAAACTGAAGTTCATCTCCTTAGCCCAGTCTCCTGTGAAAAGGCCCCTTGTGCTGTCTGGTGTGGACAAGAAAAAAACAAAACAAAACAACAAAAAACATCTCCTACTGCTGTCACATTTGAGCATCCAAAGGACAATGAGACAGACACCACTCACAGGAATAAGAACAGGCCTAGTCCTCCATACAAACTAACACACAAGAAATAAACACAGAAGACAGCATGAAGAGCCCCAGCCAGGACCACAGCCCTGGGGCCCATAATCCTGGGACAGGACAAGGCTCTGGCCATCCCTGTATCCTGTGATCACAGATCTCAGCATGTGGCTCACAGGGATGAAGGGAACAGAGCCAGGAGGTGACAGAGCTGAGGGTGACCAGGTCACAGATGACAATGGACTGAGCTCCACCTGGACACAGCCCTGTTCACACTCAGCTCCCACAGCCTCATCCTGTCCCACCAGGTACAACAGCACAATGACACAGATTCTGGAAGGTTCTCCACCTGCCATTTACTTCCTGTATAAAATTCTAAGTATTCTCAATTTTTTTATTTTCCTGCCAATCAACCTCTTAGATCAAGGACTTAAACAATTAGGTTCACATTTGCATTTTTATTTTCAGTGGGGAAGTGAGGAGCTGCAGCTCAGGGCAGCAGGGAGCTGACAGGATGGAGATGTCCCCTCCTGCCTGGCTGGACCAGGAAGGTTGGCTGTGGAAGGGAACACAGGGCAGAGCAGGGAGAGGGTGGTGGTGTGCAGGGCTGGGCTGGACGTCCAGTTCTTCACACTGAGCCCACAGAATCACAGGGAACTTAAGATGCCATTGACTAAAGGGAACTGAGGACTCAAGACTTCAGAGGAGAGACCTGAAAACATCATCTGTCACTGTCCACTCAGGCAGCTGTCTTCATGCTAGAGAAAGAGTCATGAACAGTCACTATGAAAACAACATCCAACAAACAACTCCTCACCCAGAGGAGATTCCAGGAGTCCCTGAATCTCAGTCATATCCACTTTGCCCCTCCCCAAGCCAGATCCCAGAGTGTCACCTTTACAATCTGGGAGAGACAAATCAGAGCTCTGGGTGCTGTCCCTCCCTAGGAAAAAAGAAGGAAAAAAAGAAAGATTTCATTACAAGGTACAAATACAGCACAAAAAAATATTTTCCTAAAGGGGCTATTATGGTCTGGCTGAGCTCCCCATCATCTCCAGCTTCACCCCAAGGGCCTCAGGGACAATCCTGCTCCCACACTTACCTGGAGCTGGAGCATAGTCCCCTCCTTTTCCACCTGTGAGAAGAAAGGCTGTGAGAGACCAGGGAAGTCCCCAGCCCTAGGAAGTTTCCAGAACTGACAGCAGACCCAGTTAGAGACAGCAGCAATGAGGGTGTGGATGTGTTTCCATTAGTGAGCAGAGCACACTTCTAAAAGTGCTGAGAGAACACCCAGAACCTGCCCTCTCCTACCTGTGTTTCTCCTCCACTTCCTCATAACAGCCACCACAGCTCCAATGATGACCACAACTCCAAGGACAACCAGAACAGCAATGACTGCCATGATGGTGACAGTG